GCTTTCTAGTTTTTTTCTTCTTCTTCTTCTTCTTCTTCTTCTTCCTCTTTTCTCCCTCTTTCCTCCTGCGCTGTATGTCACTGCTAACTAGGGTGACGCTATCGCAGGTTGTTTTATGCTTCATCAACATCCTAGCAACGACCATATACTTCATCACCGTCACCGAGAAAATCGTCTACCCGGTGCTCGTGATCACGGATGGCATCGTCCTGGCGGCTTACACTGCCGGGCTAATATTAGTATTCCGCGTGCCGGGAAGTCCTTACTGGTGTTATTACTTCAGCACACCACTGGACCTGAGGGCGAACGTGGCCGAGAGGAATTGCGTTATAGGGCAGAACGGGAAGGGCGCATTGGCTTTCGCTGTGTAGGACTCCTCCCCAAACCGAGCCATAGCGGAGGACCGAGCTAACGAGTGACGGGATGATATTCCAGCGGCCTAACGGGTCTCGTCCTAATCCTCGCTATCGTGAAATCCGCCAGGAGATTCTGCCGCTGCTGCATGGGTCGCTCCGCCAACGGTGAAGAGGAAGGGACCTCATCGCTTGTGGGCAACCCCGGTGCGACGGGCGGGAGCCACATCAGCGTGGACATTGACGTCGCGGCCTTCATGTCGCACGAGCAGCGAATGGTGATTGGAATCGGGGATGCGGCGGAGGTGGCGGAGGACGAGAAGCCCGCACTGCCAATGGAACCTCATCCCGCCGAGAGGGCTGTGGCGAAGCCCGTGGGCGAGATGGAGATCACGGAGATGTCCAAGAGGCATGGGAATAATTTAATCTAATCCAATTTAGTTCGAGAGATATGCCGTGTCTGTATGTCTATGTGTATGTTTATGTTTATGTATGTGTGTGTGCGTAATGTTGGTTGGTGTTATAACTTATGAATGAAATGGGATGAGATTAAATAAACCTAGTATGATAATAGATTGATTATTGGAGTTTATTGATCGAGAATTGATCGATCGAAGGGGATCTTTGACGGTTTGTGCTGTACGCCTGTGCGGGCAAAGGGAATATGCTCACTTGGATGGAAAAATGAACGATAATTCAGTCTACTCGTACGGGGGTAATATCATACATATTCATGAGATCTCCAACAGTAGTGCTTTGATGCACCCGAGTCGCCGGTTGGAGCAACGCATCCCCAATCAGGCAACCCGAGTACTGTACCAGTACGATAGCCGGGGTCTAGGCCGCTCTAAGTGACTGCAACACGGGAGGCCGCCCATAACTCGAGCTGGGGGAAGGAGATGATGGGTTCTCTCCTTTGGTTTTTGATTCCTGATTCTTGATTTCTGGTGAAATTTTGGTAAAGCCCTTGTTTTTAGCGTCTGTAAACCTCCCATCTATATTAATGCGCCACTGGTGCTGAACAGTACCGAGCAAGGTTCATAGTGCGCGCCCTTTCCTCTTCTTTTTCTTATGATATATCATATATGATATGATAATATTCCCACCCCGCCACGCCACCAACGCCAGTGACCACGACCCACACCCCACCCCACGTCCCGGGAGCCCCCTCCTGCACCCAAGAGAAGATTGTCCCTCTTTCTTCAACCTAATTACCAGCCCTATACCTCTCTACCTCCGCCATCTCCTCCAAACTCATCTCCTCATCCCCCTTCCTCGCCAACCTCTGCAGAACAAGCCTGGCAAGCTCCTCCTTCCTCCCCTTCCCGAATAACCTATACTGAACCGCGCTCGGGGGGCCAAAATACGCGGCGCGGGCAGTCTTCACGCCCTGCCAAACCCCAAAGGTGGACAAGAACCGGCCAAACGTAACGTGCGCGCCAAAGTCCCGGGCGAGCATATCCATGTACGGGAAGAACTCGACTTCGAGCGTGTGGCGCGGGGACTTGACAAACACCTTTTTGAGATCCCTCTGGTAGGCTGCTATGTCCTCGTGCATCCGTTCAGGCGATGGAAGGGGGATCTCGTTCTTGAGGACGGAGGTGGCCCATCTTGCTTGCATTTCTGAGACGGGCATTAATGCGCCTCTGGGTCATTGTTAGCTCGGAAGATTAGAGTGGGCGGGGGACAAACAATGGCTGACATAGCCCAATGAAATAGAGTCCTGGATGCCCTGGCGCCACCATTAACCTGTAGAGATTCGTCCAGTTTTCTTTTCCATCTCGATCCCCATCGGATTGTACGATTCCTTTTGGGAGAAAGGGGAAGTTCAGCTGTTTACCACATTATTAACCGCAACCATTTCGGGTCTCTTACCCCCCCCCCAGCGGGAAATCAGGAGAGGTGGACATACGGTATACCCCGTTGCAGCAACAACCGCGTCCAGGGGTTCTACCATCTCCCCGCTTGTAAGCTCAAGTCCCTTCTTGGTAAACCTTTTTATAGCCCCTCGGTGTGGAGTTATTGTTCCGGTCCTCACCCGCTCAATCAGGTCGCTGCGGACAGTGGGGTGTGCGGCCAGGAGGTTGTGTTCTGGCTTTAGTTCTTTTGGGATGGTGCCAAGCGTGTAGTTTAGAACCCATTGGGTCGCAGCGATCGACAGGAAGCGGGGCATCATCTGGAGCATGAAGCGGCCTGGTGAGCATGATCAGTACATGCCCCGAGAGGGGGGGTATAAGGGGCTTACTCCCGAGGCTCTCGTACGGCTCTCCGAACAGGAAGCGTGGCCATACCCAGGTTCCCGAGCGAGTGATTAGGTGCGTAGATTTAGTGCAAGTGCTCAGCTCCGCACTGATATCGACTCCTATCACCACCCCATACCTTTCGTTAGCCACCCACATTCCCGGCAGAGGACCAACAACCTACCGGAATTCCCAACCCCGACGACCGCAATATCCTTCCCCTGAAACTTGACGGTGTCCCGATAATAATGACTGTGCAGCAATTCCCCTTCAAACTCGCCCACGTCCTGCCAATCCGGCATGTTAGGCGCGGAATGGTGACCCGTACACACGAAAACCGCATCGTAAGTGTCCACCGTCGCCTGCCCACCACTCTCCACCTCGACAGTCCACTTCCCATCCCCCACCGGATGGGCCCCCCGAACACGATGGTTCAAGTGGATGTGGGGTTGCAATTTAAAAAACTCTACATAGGATTCAAAGTACCGCTGCACCCTTGAATTGTGCTGTTTGCCAGTGCCGCCGGGGGGAGTTTAGCATGTGATAACCGACCCCGTGCGAGGAGTGGGGGGGGGATATACGGGATAAATGGCATACAACTTCGGATCCATGGGAAAGTCGCTCATCATCATCGTCTCCCGGGAGGTGTTTATCACGACGCTGCGGTAGATTGAGGAGACGACCTCGCCGGTCAGTGGGTCGGGATCCGTGTAGTGCCATTGCCCTATTCATCCATCCATCCTCAAGTCAGTCTTGTCATGTAACGGGGCGAGGGGTGGGGGGAGGCAGAAAGGGAGAAGCGCACCGCCGAAATGTCCCAACGCTTCGAAGCACACGGGCTCGAGTCCTGCCTCCAGGCACTGCTTTATGGATACGAGGCCAGAGACTCCCGCCCCGATAATGGCAACTCTCATGGTCATTGGGAGTGTCGTTCGTTCGTTCGCCAGCGGTTGGAATGGATGGGACGGTCTTCCGGAGGAATTGTTGCGGACAAGCAGAGGAGGTTTGCTTTTATGGAAGCAAGGGATTGGGGAGTGTTCATCATCTGCCGTGCTCAGCGGTACTCGAGTACAGTGCAGGAACCGAGCGTCACACGAACAACGTCGGTCTAGCTGACTTTGGACATCACTGCAACCATTTTCAGAATAAGGGACATGCCAATCCTCGACTGAACCAACCTGCCAACTACCGGTACAAGTACAAGTATTATCGGTGCATAATGTATTTTATTTTATTTAATCGTTCCCATTCCTAGGCCAGAGCCGAGAAGGGATTGGAAGGATTCTCCCGGAGGGAAGGAACCCATGTGTACCTTTATCAGAATTCATATCCAATGTTCTCTCTCCATTCCACCGCATACGGTACCGATACGGAATGGGCAAGTGAGAAAGTGGCTCTAGCATATCATAAGTGCGGTACTCGTACTCGTAGCGTCCCCGCATCAACATCACAAAATCCTGCCCTTGTGAAAGTGCCCCATTGCCAGGTTAAACCCTAGAGAGACCGATTATTAATAGTCTATCACCTCAACCCTCGAGGGGTGGATCCCCAACGGGAATGTGTCGGAAAGAAGGCACCATCAGTCGATGCTGCAGAGAGCACAGTAAGCTCCGATAAGGTCCGCCGCAGAGAGTACCGTACAGTATTCCAACCTCGTGGAAAAGCGACCAATCCATCCGTCGGAAGTCTTCACCCCAAGTACCGGTACAGTTACACAATTAGCGCACCGCACAGTGATCAAGTACGAGTACATATTTAGCCATCACTCGGAGTGGCCAGGGGCTGCCGGTGCAACAATGCTACAAGTAGTATGACACCGTACCGTACGAGTACATGCAGACTCCATTGTTTTTTTGTTTTTTTTCCAGAGGTTCACGTCATGTCCCCACTCTCGCGGGGCACATTTAGCGGGGATCATGTTTCATCGCTGCATCCCACCTTTTCATCCTGGCCGCTAAAACACTACGGTACGGTGGGGAATTTACTTGTACCATCCGAGTACTGCCAGGCCTGTCCGTGTTACAATCAAAGACAGAGATGACTAAGGCACTATCACAGCATTCCTCGATAATACCGGTAATGCTAAACGTAGACACAATCACACAACTAATATTGGCAATATTCAGAAGTCTTCTCATCCGCAAATTTGGAGCAATCGAGAAAAGGTGCTTATCAATTGATATATCGGATGATGACTAGGATGGCGGTATCATATCATACGTAAGCTTTTTCAAAGTGTTCCCACAGTCAGCTATGGGGACACCGGTATAATACTCGAGTACTGTATGAGTACTTATCATGTCTTAAATCCTTGTGGCAGTGCTCAAGCACTAGCAAACCGCAACCATACCGTACTCTGCCATACCGGTATATCATACCAGCGCGTGTGACAAGTCACATGCCACAATGCGAGACGATAAGGCTGGACTATCGATAACTGGTGCTGACGGCTGCATAGCATCGTCACACCCAAGCACTGTGATTCAACAATCCTCATCGTCGATACTTCTCGCGTACGGTGCGAGTCCAATAATGTTCGCTGAAGCACTTCCCGTGCTCGAGTCCGAGTACGGTATAAATATCACATCGCACCGATAGACACTGATATACCGTAAGAACTCGAATAATTGAACCTCGCGCTAGAACGTTCAGAATTCCCTCTCCTGGATA